GTCCTGCCTGAACAACACCTGTCCACTGGATCTAACTAATATTTTTATCCACTTGCCATCTGTCTTTAGTGAAACACTTATTAGTTAACCCATAGCTGGGAAGAAAGTGGATTCACATCTTTTCAAAAGGTATTTTCATGTAAGTGAATATAATGAACTAAACTGGAACTGAAACTTGGCCCTGATTAGCAATTCCATGCCATTATCTTTTTACACCACCTGCACATCCTGAAGTTTACAGCACCTGGTATTCCTAAATGATGAAAAATCTAGTTAACTAACAAGGCTCAACATTGCTTAACCTTTGGTGATTTTACAGGAACTGGTGTTTCAATGTGATGTGACTTGAAGCCAATCTCTAGAAAGTCATCATCATTGAATCACCAACATTATGAAAGGACATGGCATTAAAAAGGAAAACTCCTCTTTGTATTTGTTCTATCCTCTATATCATTGGACTATAGTTTGACCTTTTCAATTTATTTCCCTGATAGGTGGCTATACATGAATCTTGTTTTTTTTTTTTTTTCTTTTATAATTTCATTCATAATAATAAAGGATAATTTAATATAAATAGTTGTATCTGCAATTGCAAAATCTATCACATATTTCATTAAAAAGTGGATTGGATTTGACCTGTGGGTCAAAGTTCCCTTGAACTTACATGGACAACCCTTACAGCAAAAAGGAAGAAATAATCATTATTGTGATTGAATATTTGAATGAAAAAAATATCACAAAACAATTTCTTAGATGGAAACTAAATTTTTAAATGAAACAATTTTTGATTTTTACTATATAGGAATAAAAAACTTCAGATTTGCTGACACTTGAGTTTGCTAATTCAATAGATGAAGCCATTGAGCAAACACAGGTGATCCCATTATTGAATTAAGTAGACCACAAAAGGTATTGTTTGTAACGGAATATGCAAAAGAGTTGCATGTGTCTGACTATCTGATTAAAATTTCAAACGTTTTAACTATATAGAACTGCTATTCTCTATTCTATTCACTATACTATTTCTCTATTTGGATTACTATATGGATTTTAAAATTTTTTCAAGAATAAAAAATGTATTAATTAAAAAAATAGGATACAAAAGGTACTATTAGAGATCAAGAAATTCAAAAAAATAAAACATAATGGAACATGATAAATACATGGATTAACGACAAGAAGCCTAAGAGGGAAATTAACAAAACATCTCAAAAGAGGAAATTTGTTTTTGTGCAAATTAATAATGTAAAAATAAAATTGCAATTACATACAGGATTTGATATCACTATCATAAATGTCATGGAGAAAAATGTGTAAACCCAGTTTATTGACGTCTGATAAATTTGCGCATGGAGTCTCAGGAAAGAGATTGAACTTTTTGGGTGAATTCAGCTGTAATGTTTCTTTTGTGGGAAAAAAAACAAAAAAAACAGTGGTGTCTGTATTAAAGCAGCTAGTTTGCATTAAAACAGCCAATTTGGAACAGACTGGATTGCATTATTTGATCTTTGGGACCTTCCAATTAACTCTTTTTGCAACAAGATAATGTTATGACCGGTAATGTTACAGCAACTGAAAAATTGAAAAATGAACTGAAAAAAGTTTTCCTGAGGTTTTTTCAGAAGGTCTAAGGATATGCACAAAAGCAAAAGCTAAGTTTGAGTTAAAAGAAAATGTAACACTGACATTAAAGCCAAAAAGGAGTGTACCTTTTGCAGCCTTAGGTCCAATTAATAATGAATTGGACAGACTGGAAAAATTAGGTGTGATCTCAAAAATAGACTATTCCAAATGGGCATCACAAATAGTCTATGTTAAAAAAAAGGAATAATAAAATCTGCGTATATGCTGATTTTTTAATGGGGTTAAATAAAAGTTTAAAACAACATAACTACCTGTTACCAAGTCCAGAGGAAATTTTTACCAAATTGAATGGAGGTAAATTCTTTTCTAAATTGGACCTGTCAGATGCTTATGTACAAGTACTAGTAGATGAAGAGTGCTCAAAATTATTGACAATTAACACTCTTAGAGGATTATACAAATTCTTCCTTTCATTATAAAAAGTAGCACAAAGCATATTCCAACAGATAATAGATACCATGCTTCCCAGTTTGGATTGTGCTCAAGCATATTTGGATGATGTACTTATTAAAAGTAAAACCTGAAAACAACATACAGAGAGCATTTGAGAGAATTAAGGAATATGGTTTGAAGATTAGTGAAGGAAAATGCAAAGTGTTTATGTGCAGACTTAAATATTTAGGACAAATTACTGATGAAAACAGTAGATGACAGGATTCTTCAAGAACAAGCATAATAAAGGACATGCCTGCTCCAACAAATGTAACAAAGTTACAAGCATTTTTAGTGTTTTCTAATTACTGTCATATATATATATATATATATATATATATATATATATATATATATATATACACACACAAAAACATGCAAATTATGAGCACTCTTGAATAACCTCTGCTAAAGAAAGATGTGAAATGGAATTGGACAGAAAAATGTCAAAGTGCTTTTGAAGAGAACAAGAAAGTCTTAACATCGGATTTGTCACTAGATCATTTTGACCCTAAATTAAAGATTGTAGTTGCATCAGATGCAAGTCATTCAGGTATTGGAGCAGTGATACTACACAAATATGAGAACAGAAAAACTAAACCAATAGGTCATGCTTCAAGATCATTAATTGCAGCTGAAAGAAGCTACAGTCAGATTGAAAAAGCAGCATTGGCAATCATATTTACTATGAAAAAGTTTCATAAATTCATACATGGTAGAGAATTCATACTACAGACAGACCATCATCCATTATTGTCCATATATGGATCAAAAAAGGGTGTACCCACATATACAGCAAATAGACTGCAGTGCTGGGGAATTATCGTGCTGAATTATAATTATAAGATGGAATTTCTAACATCCAAAAAATTAAGTCATACCGATGGATTGTCTAGACTAATACCAATATTCTGCAAACCACTTGAAGATACAGTAATAAGGACCAAAAATGAAATTAAGAATATATTATACAATACTGTAAGACAAGTATAAAGTGCCCATAACATAGGAGGAAATAAGAGTTAAGTTGGAAAAAGACAACTTTATATTGAAAATGAAGAAGCAATTAAGGTTTAAAGGAAAAAATATTATTGGAAATGTGTTTTAATTATGTAATAATGTATTTATGTATGCAGAAAGTATTGATACCAGCATCGTTGCAAAAACGTGTGCTAAAGAAATTTCACATAGGACATCCAGTAATTTCTAGAATTAAATCCTTAATGAGATGTTATACTTACTGGCTAAAAATGGATAAAGCTATCGAAAATTTAGTTAAATCATGCAGAGGTTGTGCTCTGGCTGCAAAGTCACCGCCTATCAAAGTTCAACCTTGGCCAAAAACCAATATGCCATGGTCCAGAATACATATAGACTTCGCAGGACTGTTAAACGGAGCATGCTATCTAGTGGTAGTCAATAGTTACACTAAATGGTCAGAAATATTAAAATGTAGAAGACCGACTACTGCAGTAACGATAATTTCCTACACAAGATTTTTGCAAGGTTCAGTGTTCCTTACTATCATTTCAGATAACAGGACTCAATTCCCATCTAGTGAATTTAAGTTTTTTTGCAAATATTTAGCAATAGAGCATATTACAACTCCCCCTCATTACCTAAGATCAAATGGACAAGCAGAACAGTTTGTCAATACTTTTAAAAGGGGAAAAAAAAAAGTCGGAGGGAGGAGAGTCAGATGAGTAAATGCTACAACAATTTTTGAGGGTTTACATAATAACTTGAAACCTGAACACCATATCTGGGATGTTGCCTGCAGTGTTGATGTTCGCCAGGAAGATTAAGTCCGTATTTAACAAATTACTATAAAAACAGAAGACGAGAACATCATTGAATCAAAATAATGTAAATATTTCAAACCTGGTGATAAAGTGTTTTTTAAAATGTACCAAAGGTGGAATCAGTTAAAATAGAGATTCACTAATTTACTAAATTCACAAAAAGAGGGACCAATGGAAATGTTGTATGACATGTTTGATGTACCCACACCACCAGAAATTAGTGAGCCAAGGAGGTACAGTAAAAGAAAAAGAATAGCAACGGAACATTTGAATATTGAACCGAAGGTGAAGAAATATAGAGTCCAGAGGAAGTGATCTCAAAAGGGAGGTGTTATATAGGAATAAAGTCTCGCTGCCGACACTGGAGTTTGAACATAGATCACCTGTGAGCAAACACAAGCAATCCCATTAATGAGTTAAGTAGACCATGTAACCATACAGGAAACGCATATATGTAGGAAGTAGTTGACGACTAACAATTTCATTTCTACTCTATCCTCTATACTATACAGACTGCTATTTTCTACTCTATTCAGATCACTATACAGGTTACTTGTCAAGCAAGTATTATCGAGCAAGTACTATTAATGCAAGTGATATTCGAAGGTATCTGACACCAGCATTGCTCAACGGCGTTACTATAGTTGTATCTGCAATTACAAAGTCTCTACTAAAATGAGCATTACAAAATAATGAGTATTCGTTGACATCACAAAAAAAAGTAAAACAAGAATAGATTTTTAAATAAATGGATTAAGCTTGAACTGTAACAATTTATAAGTAACAACTAATTTTTTCATTTAGGATTTTATCAAGTTTATATATAAATTTTCTTTTTATGCATGTTTTGTTTTATACAATATTAAAACAATGGCTAAAAATTTTCTGAAGCAGCACCACCATTAATTTTAGCCACAAGCCATCAGTACATGTATTATACCTTTATATATAATTCAGTAAAGCAACATTTTGCCTAAAAGTAAATTGAAAAATAAATAAATTTCTAAATTTTTATAAATTTGTAGCAAAATGCCTTTACCACTTTCTGGGGAAAGAAAAAAAAAAAATCACTAAAAATTCATTAAAATTTCAAAATTTTAAATATTGAAAATGTGTGATTACCATATCCCTCTCATACTTTTCTCGAGTCATTTGTAGTTTGTTTTCATAGATAGCTTTCAGCTGAATTTTCTCATTCTTCATTTTTGTCTGCATACTTTTATTTTGCAACTAAAATAAAATATGGATAATTTGTAACAGACATTTTTCATTAAAAGATTTGTAATAGGGAAATGAATAGGAGAAAGAACACCAGATTCATTGCAACTCAATCTCAAGTGGGTCTGTCAAAGATGTGATCAGTGTTAAACTCCCTCTTCTAGTTACTACTTAAATGTTAAAAAAGAAAAAAGGATGCCTAGTTATCTTATAAGTAAATAATAATGTGACTAAAAATACCAGTTCCTAAATATTGTTGCAATAGACAGGTGTCAAAGAAAAAGTAATAGAAAACTTTACAAAGAAAATACTATTTCTTACCAACACCAGTGAACTGGGTTCTCTCATCATATTCTGACTCCTAACCTCATTTAAAAAATAAAAAAAAACTCAGTGATTGTTTTGCAACCTTTTTAAGTACATTTGTTTACTCACTTCATGTTAGCTTTAAATGTACCCAATGCTACATTTTTATGACTAAAATCTAGATAGCATAAATTTGAAAATTTTCCCAATTTACATATTAATCAAATTGAACAGGACAAATACACATAATTAAAAATCAAGCATAAGTAAGATTATTGAAAGATACTGAAGCATTTGTTTACATACAAAATCTATGATACAAGCAAGGACATGAATTCAAAGATGAGTTTAGGTCCCAAGTTATTTTTGGTATGGTTGTTTAAAAAAAAAAAAAAAAAATCAATCAGAAGATTGGGGGGGGCAACTGCAAGAGGAATATTTTACAACCAACTACTTATATTTCAGGATGACATGGTAATTTAAAGAATGGCAACATTTTTAGATAACCATGCTCTAAGTATTAATGGGCGATGCCTGAAAACGTACTTTACGTTCTAGTTCTTGCATCTCAGCATTTGCAGCTTGAAGTTGATTTTGAAGATCATACACTGTTTTATCAGCTTGTGAGTGCTCATGTCGTAGTCGGAAAGCTTTTTCTAAAGCGCCTGCACTTCTCTCAAGGACTGAAATCTGTGCATTTTCTTTCTCTACATGCAAAAGCAACTTACGGAATTTATCAGCTGAAAAAGAAATACCACAGTTAAAAAACAATATCAGAAAGAATATAAGTATAAGGATAGAAGTTTTATTTTGTCTGATACATAAAAGACATCCACTATGTAGATG